GTGGCTGAATTTTACGGAGACTTGCCACGCTCTCCAACCCTCCTTTTTTCTCATCCTGGCTTGGGACCGGTAATGGCGGAGTTGTGTAGTTTTGTTTCAGGTGTAAATCAATATAGCACGCTTGAATTATTTTAATAACTTGCTGGTCCTACTTAGGCCATCAGTGTTTCAAATCTTTCGCTATTTGATCGAATAAGACAGTTTTTACATAGAAGCATGTGGTGTTTTTACAAAAGGTGGTGTATATTTCCTAGTTATAAGAAGTTACTTTGTAAGTACTTTGTAGTGCTTTCTATAGTTATAAGAAGTTACTTTGTTTCGAGTATGGTTGGCATGATAAGATAAGGTAACTTTAGGCTGAATTAGGCCATTTTTTGTAATTGTGTAGCTCTTTCTTTTGTGAGGTTTTTCGGTCATTTTTAAAAACTGCTCGATGGCTCTTGAGATTGGTAATGACAGAGCGTTGATAGCTTGGTTCAAACGATGCTTCAGGTGTCCAGCTTGACGCAGATACTCGATGAAAATTTAGTTTGCTGTTAATTCCATTAAGAAACAAATAATCCACCATGTACTTTGGTATAGTCAACATGGAAATGAGTAAGCAGTTCTTGATTTGCTCTAAGTTTTAGCAATATTGCGCAGTGGCAAGAATATACTACAGTTTGCAAGTCAACTTGTTTTATGTTCACCCCTGCCTTTTCAGTGCCTCCGTACCTATCCACCTGAATATCAGCCTTTTGTCAACAAAAGTCGAATAGCGGGAATTTCACGGATAGCTCCGAACGGCTCCATTATTCCGGTATCTGCACTGTTGTAAGAAACAGCAATTTCAGCAAATAGTAACAAGAAGTGTTCTCGCTTAGGCAAGCAGGTCTACTGTCAGCACACCGCAGTATTTTTGTGGAATATATTGCACAGCATCGAAACGATTGGAGCAATGTGACTAAAAGTTTATACGAGTTTCTGCACTTTGTTAGTGTCATACGCAGTTGAAGTAATGTTAACCTGTGATAAAGTTCGGCGCACGCTGAAACGGTTGAGCTTGCTTTTGGTAAAAGGAATTCCCTGTTACATCTAAAGCCAGTTTTGTTAAAGAAAAATATTTTCAATAAACTGTTCAATAAAGTTAATATTTGTGAACAGCGGAAGCAGCAGTTTCAGACTTAGATCAGACTTTAGATTCAATCTCAAATGACTTCTAGTCTCGTATCTCCGTCTGTCTGTTCCATCTTGTAGATGTCGCCTCTCAACAAGATCGTCTACTTCTACTGTGTCTTATATTATTGGTTCTTCGGAATAACGACCGTCGAAGTATGTGAACATGAACTGGCGACTGGGATTAATGCTATATTCGACTTCAACAATTAATTGTGCAAGTTTGTGCTTACGAAGTGGGAAAGGATAATGAGGCGATGTTCGATGGACTTCGGCAAATAGTAAAGTCTGAATCTGAGATCTTGTCTAAACTTAACCCTAAAATTGTTGTTTCTGTTTTTCACAACTATTAAGTTAGGTTATTATTTGTTAAAGTTGTTGTTTTGAAGAAAGGAGAAATATCACATATGGTCGTAATTATTTTGTTTGAATTTTCCAGTAAATCGGAAAGCTTTTTTCTTTGATTAATCATGCATTCTTATTCGTTCAACGGTAAGGAGTGAATTTTTTCTTGATTATATGAGATCCTATGAAACTTGTTTTTTTTGTGTTCTATGTGATATTTAATTATAGCCGTTAAATGTTTAGAATAAGATTTTCCACATTAAGACAGTGACGCCGAAGGTTCTTGTTCTTGCTAGAAGTGTGGATTCAAAAATAAGAGGGACTTAAGTTTTCTTATGCTAATTCTAAGAGCTAACTGCTAATTTCTTAACCTTTTCACTTTGCACTTAGCACGGCAGTCCCGGCAAGATGTAGTCTTTTAATTATCTGCTGATTTCCTTGAACAGTTAATTCACGTAAATTTGCTTCGGTGAAAGCGCCCAAAAAAACTGACAGGAAGTCTGATATACGAGCAACAAGGACCACGTGATGTTCTGCTATTTGATGCATGCCTTTACGGGTGCAGTTCTTTTTAACCCACCTGGTAGCTGACTAAACAACAGCAAAAGACATTACCATAAATATTTTTTAAATGCGGAATTTTGCTATCGCCATTGCCATTACCATTTGACTAATTCCTTTAATTGCAGGAGAGTGAAGGGATTCTTATCGGATTTGAATAGCTTCTATTCCAATGACAGACGGCAAACTTTTCGACGATGTAGTACTTCCTGAGGAAACTTGTGGCTTGTTCAACGCGGTATTAACCGATGGCAACAGGGTGACGGCGATTCAGTTCGACTCATGCTACGAGCTGCTGTGGATGGGTAACAGTGCGGTAATGAAACAATAACTTACTGGTGAAACTGAATAGTTTACATGTTCGAATCATTTGATTAATGCAGCGTGACAGCCGATGGAAGATGAAAGTTTTACAATGCTAATGAGATTTAGTTTGTTTCTGTGAAACGATACTTCGACATTACTTGATGGTTTCTGCTAATGAGCCCGCTTTACCAGGAAGGCTTTTTTGCAGATCAAGAATTGATCGATAGAGAAGAGTACCACGAAAAAGGTTTGACACGCATTACTTGAAACGTCGGTTCATTCCTCATCTAGAGTTTTAGACTTTATTAATGGTTTGCTTGTTATGCTTGATTCTGATATTTAACAGTATGACCAGCTGCTCAGATGCCACGTAGATAACAATGACTGAGTAATGACCTTTAAAGTTGAATAGTAATAACCGGAGATGAAAAAATGAGGCCAAGCTCTGTAGCTGGCGTATTCGGAGATATTTTTAAAAATTTTAAAAAATATAAGCTATGCTATTGTTAAGTGACTTTGCTGATTTATTGTAGGGACGCGTAACCTCATTTTATGGTTCTGCAATGGGGCGGTATACTTCATTCCGAATGTTTCCTGCAGACGAGGTGCGAAGTCTTCTTTCGTTGGACGACAACATCTTAGCTTTGAGCCCCACTGCAGTGAAATGCAACACAAAGTGTGGTCTTTGCGTTTCATCCTTATGGTAAGATAAGCGGAAGATTGCTTTGTGCTCATTTTATGACAGGTCTTAAAGCTCTCCCGAGTTTCATGATCTACAATGCGTGCTGATGAATCGTCGTTCTCCGGACAACGCTTTTCTCGGCGGCTTGCAGTCTTTCGTAAACGTCCTGAACTTACCCAGAATGGAGCTGGTAGAAAAGGTATGCAGAATTCTGAAGCTGGTATTTAGTGTTGTTTTTACCGTCCTTATTCTTCACTGATAAGATCTGAAAGATGGTAACTGCCCAAAATCTACGTAGTAGCTTCATCATTTGGTTTCAGGTACCCATTCCGGAGGCGGACTGCGTTCTTATGAAAGGCAATGAGAGCGTGGTTTATTCAGCAACGTCAAAGGGCCAAGTGAGTCAGTCAGTTCATTGACAGTATGACACCTGTGTAGTTGTAGGTGATTGTTCGCGACTGGCGTACTTTTGATGTTGTGCAGTTGGTGGAATGCTACAATGGAACTTTGTCGGACTTCGACATTTTTCAGACTAAATTAGTCACTTGTGGATTTTCTAAAAGGTGTTTATATACGATATTTTTACTGTATCGACCTTGAGTGAAAATAATCACATTGTGATTATAATCATAATTATAATCGATGATGTTCAACTTAACGACTAAATTTTAGTATTGCGTTTCTTTGCTAACTGCATATCATAAACACGATTTTATTGCTTACCAGGCTTGTAAAGAATTTATAACTCTATTGCATTTAGTTGCACATGAAGGTCGCCTGAGATCTAGGCTTTGTATTTGAATCTTTGATGTCATATAATGAAAATAAATATCTATCTGCTGTCCTGAGGGATTATAACTGAGTGCAGTTCTACATCGCGTGATTTCCGTTTAGACCTTCTTAATTGTGACATTCATTTTTTTATTTCCTAATATAGTTTAATTCGTTCTTGCCTTCCTGATCGTACTGGAGAGCATAATAAAACATGGTTCATTATTACGCAACGCAAAACATGACATTACCAGTAGGATGATTGTCAACTTTTCGACCCATGTCTCACGAGCCTTCTTAAAGGTAAAAGCTTGGTAGCATTTTGTCGGTTTTTTGCTGCTCGCGGCAGTTGGTAGCGTTGAAACTATTTTTTGCGTTTTGTGCTAATAATGTTTTATGCTGTTTTTCTCTATTTCGCATTAATGCAAAGCTGTATAGTTTTTCTGGTCTAACACGTTAGTGATCATCATTTGTTCGAAGGATAGAAGGTATGATAGGACGATTTCGCACGCTTTCTTGGGGCACTGATTTAGATCATGGTTCTCAACCACTGCTTTTGATCAGATCATTTTTTTCATGGGCAGATTTTTTGGTAAATTAGTATGACCATCGACTACTATTGCCACGTTAGCAGAACACTTCAAGTTTGTAACGGGTATTCGTGGATAGAGAAAATACACTCTTCCACAGTACTTTGCTCTGACATGCGATCCGTTCCCCGGTTGCTGTATGCCTTTTGCAACATGAGCGCA